TACTACCCCGATTTAATCTTCCTGTTTCTGTTACTGTAATGAAGTGTTGATTTACCGGAACAAATTGTTAAATTCTGCAAGTAGGAAGAAAGACGGTGATTATAAGTATCCATGTCGAGTCTATCCAGAGTCTTGCTGTACCACAGAAAGCTTAAGCGAGCTTACTAGGTGGTAGCCTGCGTATCTGGCAGTATTTTGTGGGTGCGAGATTAAAGGTTTGGCGGCGGAGCCGTGTTCCAAAAATAGAAGAAGGGACGAGGTGTTTGAAATACTCGCGGCTTCGCCGCCGTCAAATCTCACTCGACTATTATACACAATACCGCCAGCTACGCAGGTTAACTACGTGGTTAATGAAAACTTTGTGGAGAGAAATTTGCAGAGCTAGAGAAAAGTTTACTGACAAGGTTCTATGGATTTGAAAAATGAAAGTGGTGTAAACTGTTAGCCTGCCAGATCATCCGTTTTTTTCGGCTTTAGTTTCTAGTTTCACCCTTGGTGGAGAAAAATTTTTCGGAGGGAGAGAAACGACGACCGGAAATACGTCTGCGGTTCACAGGCTAGTAAACTGTCGGCGCTATTTTGTTAACATGATTGTCCTCAGTCGCAAACGATTTCCAAAGAGAGGAGCTAATTTCTTTGAGTAAAATTGCAAAGGTTCAGTTACATTGCCAGGGTTCGTACGGAGTCTTAAATTCTTTGAAAAAGTCTTTAAATTTGAAAACCGCCAGTTTTTCAGACCTGGAGAAAGTCTTGAAAACAAAGATTAAGTCTTTGAAAATGGTAAAAGGTCAGCCTCCTCCTCAGGCGCTTCGTTTTTCGCATGGCAGAGGCGAGCGCGAAACGAGTGACTGGTGAAGAATCGCAAGGGACCACGGGAAGGGTACAGACGGCACCTTCCCACCTTCCTTTGCGCGCACATTTTCATCAAAAGAGAGACGTCTGGGTACGAGGCAGGTAAAAGGTTCTGTCCGCCGTATAACGCGTCACTACATCATAACAACGCGTATTCCAATCTTTTTATGTAACATTGGTTGCAAACCAAAGCCAAACTTTTTTCGGATTTAAACAATCCAGATTGTTTGGATTTTCCTGCTAGCCGGATCAAAAATCTGAAATAAGATTGATCCATACAGTAGCTGCCGGCTGCTCTGATCTTCTTCTCAATTTCAATACATCGTTTGTTATTTCTTTCCGCTAAATTAAGCGTCTTCTCCTGGAGAAATGGAAAGAAAAGTAGCTCTTTAACTAGTGGTGGTTCATACCGGGACTCGTCAACTTAAAATTATCGGGAATCTGATTCAAGAAAGTTCAGAAGACAATTACGAATTCTCAAGTGCTGAGAAGCGCGTTCTAAACACACTCACGTATTGGACATTATAGTTTTACGGTGAGAAAATGTTAGCGTTTTCGGTTCCTTATGGGTTTAGAGTTACTTGGGAACTTGAGTTAATATACTACAATCCGTTAGCAGCATAGAACAAAGGAGGAGTGTAAATAACTTTGGCCCGAACTAACCTTGAACCACTGTGTTTATAGATCAACGAGCACGATCTTGCAATCGAAATGCAGTTTCGCTTAATTCGCTAAATGGAATAAAAATCTGAAACCAGATTGAGATACCAATCTGAACGATCCAAGTGCAGAGGTGGATCGTTCAGATTGCAATCTTAGATTGGTTTAGTCCTTAATGGAACGAAAAATCAAATTTTGGATAGCGAAATCCAGAAGTGGATTGGTCAAAAGGAATGCAACCATTACCTTCCGTTAATCTCAACTTTTTTAGATTGAACAATTAGAATTATTGGAGGAATTAAATTGGCCAAGAGAGACACTTGTCTTCAGTGCGATCAAAGTAACTACGTCTTCAAATGGTTTTCACTAAAGACAAGGTCAAAATCAAAATAGTTGCAGACGATAGCCAAGTAAAGTTTACAATTTTACACGTTCCGCACATAGGATTTCTGTGTTACTTTGACTCAGACGAGATTTTGCAATTGACTATTTTCCAATTGCCCACAATACACTCTGTTTGCCCCCCAAATTTTGCATAACTTATTGTCTTAAAATGCTCTTGGGAAAATGCAATACTCCCAGGAGCATTTAAAAACAATGGTTTATGCAGAATTTTGGGGGGCAAACAGAGTGTATTATGGGCAATTGGAAAATAGAGAATAACCAAGTTGGTTAGAAAAAAAGGGATTAATATACACTCGAAGATTTCGTAAGATTTGATGTTTAAACCAATCAGAAGCGTAGTAGAGACAATAGTAATGTTAGCACCTTTTGGCATTCCGACGTGCTCATTGCGTTTGGTTCTCTCCTTCTTATCTGCATGGACCATTACTTAATCCTTTGAAACTTTTTTGTGCTTTTTATATCCAACTAGAAGCTAAAAACTGCTATTAAATAAAAAGATACCCTACATAAAATTATATTCTCTTTTCATGCAGTAAGGAAAAGGCCCCTGGACTTCAAAAATATTTTCCGATTTTAGGTTTTGCGGCTTTATGTATTGCTCTGTAGGAAATAAAGAACCGCAAAATCTCATCAATGGCCTTTGTTTGATTTATGAGCAATAAATTTTTCTAACATTTGGGTAAATTTGGGTTGAATTCAATTGGGAACTTGTAGCGGCCTGCCACGAGACTTTAGACACCTCACACTAAAATAGTTAAGGTTTAGCGGGTATTAGAATTTGGAAGCAAAGCCTGAACGTTACTGAATTTGTGATTCGTTTATTCTTATTATCCAGTGGAACAGTTGTGAATCAACCAGGCATACAAGGTAGTCGAGAAAGAGAAGTCTACGCCTCTTAAAGGTAAACAGTGCTTGTTGCTTTGGTAAAACAACTTTCACATATTAAGAACAAATTAGGCTTAATTCATTAGTTCGATTTGAGTTTATCCGTTGATTATATCACGAGTATTCTTCAACGTTTATCCTGTGGTTTGGTGACACAGTTAACTTTAATCAGTTCTTTTTATTCTACACTTCTCTATCTTATTTTCCGTGTTTTTTTTTTCTATATTTTGTTTACCTCTCCTGGGAGAGCCTTCGGTTTCCGGCTGGAGGCCTCCTGTCACATATTTTTTCCTTTTCTTTGCGAGCTTTTTTCTTCCATTTTTTAATCATAACTGAAGATTATTCGTTGACATTATGCTTGATATTGCGATGGTTAACTAGCGAACGAAAAAAATAAATAAATAAGGATACGCTTACCAATGTACAAAATGGGCCCTGATCAACAAAAGAAGAGTTTTTCTTCAATCCAAAGTGAAAGCAAACCGTGATTATCCTCGTTTTTCAAATAGCACAATACAGTCTAACCTCTATAATACGGACACCTCTGTGTTACGGACAGTTCGTTTGGTCCCAGAAATGCCAAAATCATACATTCCCTACTTTTATGATACGGACACATCTGTACATCCTTGGAGACCCAGGGGGAGATAGTGGGGGGGAGGGAAAGTCTAAACGGGCGGAAAAATAAGGCACGAAGAAAAGTAAAGAACGGCCAGAAGCGCCCCTGGGGACAATGTCTTACCAGACCAGTTCCAAACGGTCGCCGCAGTTCTGGCTTCTGATTGGTGCCAGAAAACTTGTGTTTTTCTGGCCCCAATCAGACACACACAATCCTCATTAAGGGTAATAACTGAACCGCACCCTGTAGCGCTGGCATCGGAGTAAGCTAAACGCTGTGGCTCATTAAAGAGAAAACAATCGCGCACTTTGATGGAATTTAGGTTGTTTTTTCAGAAATATATCTCCGCAATGCAATAGGGATCCATCTTAACTTTCGCGTCCCAGTGCTGCGCACTTAATGTAGACATAATGTAGTGCCTAGTCATGATCCTAGAAATGTTCCTGGAAACAGGCGCTGTAGAAATTATCTGCCCTGTAAAAGAGACCAA